TGGAAAGTACTGTATAAACTTAAGACTTCATGACTTGGACAAATGTGATGAATTATTCCTCATTAAATTGCGAACAGTGATACATAAATTTTAGAGAGTCACACTGCAAGCCATACTTTCATAAATACTTTTTAAAAATAAAAAGTAGATAAAATGAAAGCCAAATTAGTAAAACCAAAGAAATTTAAAATGTCATAAAATACTCTTTAAGTTTCATTTTCTATAAGCATAAAATGGTTGTAATGAAATTAATTTACATTGGGCAATTTCTGGTATAGCTTTTTCTCTTAGTACCATCAGTGTATGTATATATCTTGTATACACAAAATGTGTATACAAACTTTTTTTCCCCCCTAACCACCCAGAAGAAAATTCTGCTCTATAAAATCACAGAAGATCCCTCTGTAATTAGCATTAACTTCTGAAGAGTGGTATCACTGTTACAGTTTCTGATTGTCATTCTGTCCCTTAATCTATTAAAAGGAGTGGTGCACCTCAGAATCTTTGCTTCCAGAACCTGTAGCATGCTTCCGGTTGTTTGAGAAGGACTTTAGCTTATCTCTGGAAGATCCTTCCCCTGTTCCTTACTCCAGGCAAGCAAACAGAACCCCGTGTGAAGGAACACAGAAGCAAGGAGCTATGTGTTCATTACATTTATAAGAAACCATCTGTTTTTAGGTGGTCAGGACGTGGGGGCCAGTAATTAAGACCTAACAATTAACTTGGCTGGGAATGAGAAAAGCAGAGTTTCTGTTGGTAAACAGAAAAGTCTTAAATCACCAAAATTGCATTTTTTTTTTTTTCCTAGAAAACAAAAAGGAAGTCTTTTCTTAGCTAGCTTTAATGTAAATAAGTTAGCAACCTGCCCACAGTTCTGGAAATGAGATATGCTTCTTTCCCTCATTTCTCCCACAGAATACAGGACAAAAAGCTACAAATCTTTTCTAATTTCTAAACTTGCCAACTCCTGCAAATGGCACTTACGGCAGAGCTTCTTGTAATGTCTGACCATACCACATAAATCCACTAAAGACAGGCTGGGTGACTTTGTGCTATTTCCCCACTAAGAAACCCAACAAACAAATTATATACATTATCAACATAGATTTATATTATTAAAAATTTGTTTTAAATTCTTACTACCAGATCTGGCTTTGTTCTGATGCTTTTCCCCACTCAAGAACTTTCTTAGAGTGGACTTTTTTCCCTTTGTTTTCCCAGGAGGCTAGAATATATTTCCGAGAATCTTTAATTCACTTCTAAAATATAATTATTTCCCATGATAGTTGGCTTTCTTTTTTCAACTTCATACTAGTCTTTTCTCTGTTACCCAAATTTTATCTCTTTTCCCTGATTCCCATCTCAAATATAGGGGGAGAAAGTATATAAACAGAGATACTGAACAAGCTAAAGAAAAACACAACAGGATAGAAAACATTTTGCAATTTTCTCTACTCATTTAGAAACTGGAACATTAAACTAAAGTTTACCACCAATGGACTGAAAATGCCATTTCCCAGTAAGGCTAACACACTTTACCAAGGAAATTTGGGTCATTAGTCTCTACAGGTGATTCTTTTTTATATAAATAAAATTGTGGAAAGTAAATGAATAGTAATATTGTTGAATACACTATACTATATTCATCTTGCATCTGCTGTGTTCCTGAATAGACATGCCTTTTTTAATGGATTAAATTTACAGTCTATATCTTTTCCCCTTCTTTTAGTGTTTACAACTTTTTCACCTTTCATCAATCTTTCTCATCCTTCAAGACTCAGATTAGATATTATCTCCTCCAGCATGCCTTCCCTGACACCCATGTTGTGCTAAAACTCAATATTTATGTTTCTATAGTACCTGGAAGTACCCACCACATTACAGCCACGTTATCTATTCTCTGAATCTGTTCTCCACTGTGAGTCAGGGCTTTATCTCACTCGACTTTCCATTTCCAGACATACTGCCGGAAACCATGTATACAGAACATGGGTTTGTTGGATGCTAGCAGCAAAGTCATAACAGACGGGCAAGATGTGTACAGAACAAGCAAGAGGCTCTCCTGGGCCTCCACTGTGTCCACTGTCTGAACAGTTGTGTCCCCACTCCCACTGTGATGGCCCAAATGACTTCTTGTCATTCTTTAAGCCTCAGCTTGGCAGTCACCTTATCTGAGACCCCATCCCCCACCCCCATGGCTTACTTTACCTATCTAATCTCTACCACAGGACTGCTTCAACTGACTCTTGTCCAAATTCCCAAATTAACTACATGGTATTAGAGCATGAGAAAATCGGCTTTCTCTCTACTGAGCACCTGACACAATGCCTGGTACTAATAATAGATGATCAAAAATATTTCACTTATCTGTTGTGGCCTTGCTGATGTTTCAGAGGTGAATACTTACTACTAGCACTATTGAGACCTAAATATGAATTATTCAACTTTTTATGCATCAATTATGCTTCAATAAAGTGGTTTTAAAAATACATAAATATCTCCTACTTGTCAATAGTAAGAAAATATTCTGCACAAGACATAAACAAGTAAACAGATAAATGTAATCTCACACTCATATTAAATTTTATTGGAATAAAAATTACAATGATATTCCACTTCTTGTTTTAAGTTTTCTGAATGACAGAGGACAGAAATAGAGACTAAATTTATCAACAAATATAGTAATAATTTTTTTTTCTGAAATTATTGCCTGGTTGAATCTACCAATTAATTTAATCAAATAAACATTAATTGAAAGCTTACCTAGGAAGGATTGATTTGGGCTGAGTCTCAACTGGCCAAATTACTCATTCCTAAATTGCACTAGATTTATCTTCTTGTTTATGACTATATTTTTCAGGATTTGATTTTCAGTCATCTTCTTTAGGTTTTGATTTGGGAATCCTTGACTATACTTTCAAATTTTCCAGAAAATGCTGTTGCCATGCTGCCCTGGCTCAGTTCTCCTTTTAATTTTGAAAGAAGTCCTTCCCTATGTCATTTACAGGCTTTCCTCTTACTGCTAATTGAGGCCTTTACCTTTAGTACATATTTCCTACATATTTTTTTGACATTGCCTCAGTGATTCTGTCTCCATCCATGAAACCCTTGTTTCTCTGTTTGCAATTCCCAAATTTATATTATTAGTCCTAGTTACCTTCTCTTAGCCCAAATTTCGAATAGATATTCACGGATACTCCATACAAAATACACACATAATTAACTTCCTCTTGCTTTTTCATCCTTTAGGATGAATGGCAGCATCATGCATTTATCCTCCAAGCTCCAACTTCAGGGCCATCTAGCACATTTTCCTCTACCTTGATCTCATAATTAAAGTCCCTGACAATTCCTGATGAACTTCTGTTCTGGTACATTTCACATCTGCCTCTGTATCCAATGTGCACCATCATCTTATTATTTGTCAAGAATCAATTAAGCATGTGATGACCTCACAAAATTTTTCCTCTCCCACTATCTCTGGTGCTCCAAGCCATTGCAGCAGTCCAGGAACTATGTACAAATGCCTTTTCTGTGTAACCTTCATACCTTTCATAGCAAATTCATTGCATGAGAAAAAACTTATTTTTATGCCAACAGGTAACACAGTGTCAAACATGCAATAGGATATTCAAAAAAGTATTTTCTAAAATGGAAAAAAAAACATGGATATCATACAAATGTACCATGCTATTTTCCTACATAAAGATCTTTAGTGGATTTCCAGAGTCTACAGAATAGAGCTCCAACTTCTAGACATGAAATGATTCATGTATGCCTCCCCAGTCTTCCTCTAATCTTGCCCAGGCATTTTAGTCTCCAGCCTTCTAATATCACTTGCTGCCTTTAACTAATGGATCTTGGCATGCACTGTTCCCTTTGCATATAACATTCTTTTCCTTATTTTTTTGCATTCCTATTTGCCCTTGAAGACTATTCTCAGAAATTTCTTTTATGCATCCCACTCTGAGTTAGCTGCTCTTAAGATAAAGCATAATTCTACCACTGACATTTCTTAGATTTGTCTATTTATCTACATGACACATGACATGGTACATTTTTTGAAGACCAGAATCACATCTTCTTTATCTCCAGGGCTGATCACAGTAATTGTACTTAATATAGTTCAGTGACGATACTATTTTCATCTATTGGTATATAGTCAACTAGGTCTATATTCTTAGAAAATCAACTTAATTGGTTGGATTTAATTTTCTACTTCAAGTACATTGGCTTTTACATTAAGTTCCATCCAAAGAAGATAACTTGCATTTTATATGTTTTTTTCCAATGTCATTTTGAACTTCACCTTGAAATTCTTCCTACTTTTTTAGGACATAAAACAGTGTCAAATACTTTTTTTGGTTATCTAAGATCCCAAAGTTTCTTTCAACCTACAGTAATTTGTAAGATTTCCTCACAATTACATTATTTTGCCAAAAATTAGAGTTAGTCAACTCTTTGCCATATTGCATAAGACTATGACATAAACTACTTTATGGAAAGACTGTACTGTTTATCTTTACATCTCCTCGAAATGATGTTCCTGGAACATAGGAAAAACTCAGTATTGCCAGGCATGGTGGCACACACCTGTAACCTCAGTGGCTCAGAAGGCTGAAGCAGGAGAATCCCCTGTTCGAAGCCATCCTCAGCAATTTAGCTAGGCCCTAAGGAACTTGGTAAGCCCTGTCTCAAAATAATAAAAAAGGGCTGAGGATGTGGCTCATTGGTTAAGTGCCCCTAGGTTCAATCCCTGATGCCAAAACAAACACAAAAACAAACAAACAACAACAACAACAACAAAAACAACTCTGTGTTAAATTAATGACATTCTTTGTTAAAAACCAGATCACCATTTAGTAAGCTTGGAGACTGTGTATAGAAGAATCTTTTGCTCTACGTTCCCCAATATATTCTTGCAATCGCCATGACACTGAGATCTAACTTTCTTATTGGCCTACAGCATTTCCTTCATCCTCATCCTTCCACCCACTTACTTTATATTTTCATTTGCAGGAACTTCAGGCAATTGCACCGTAATCATGCCATCCAGGTTGGTCTTGCCGATGAAGGCAGGCTTGGTGCGGAGCACATCTGGTGCCGTCTTCGCTGTTACCCTGTGCTGCAGCCCACCAGCGCTGTTTCCACGATTCGTCAGCACGAAGGAGTATGACTTCTCAGGCTTCAGGTTGACAATTAACTTCTGTGTGGCTCGGCCATCCACTTCTTCTACCATTTTCCCATCGTCATAAAGAATCTAAAGAGACAACCCATCAAACAAGTTTTGCTATCAAGAGGCAAAGTGTATTTTCTAAACCAAAAATTCACTTGCTTCTGGAAAATGTGTGTCAGATCAATTCTAATTCTGGGCAATTCCTAAGCCTATAAGTATTCATAATTCTAGAGACTGCATCAATTTTCCTGTCAGTTCTTGCTGTCTAACGATATAATGTTTGTAAGTCTATCAAAAATATGCAAAGAAATGTGCAATAACTTCTCAATATTTGACCTGTCAGCTATATGTGATCATAATGGAATGTGTGCTGAAATGCTCTAGGTTTTCCATGTATTATCCACATCATTTTTTTCCCTCATTGTTTCAATCCTCTTCTAAATATATTTTCACTTTCTCAAATGTTTGTCTACTTTTTATTTCACAAACAAGTACTTCTTTCTAACATCTCCAATAAACATTAACAGAAAAGCAGAGTTTAAAAAATGCCAGGAATTCAGACCAATAAACAAATTGAAAATCTCCCAGAATATTGCATTGTACAATGTAGAGACCATGAAAATTTTATTATTTTCTGGAAAAACAGAAGCAGTAGTTACATGCAAATAGTTCAAATTCAAATTATTAGATATACTACAAGCAATGCTAACCTTTGGTTTGAGATCCTGTCTGCTCCTTAGTGCACAAAAGTTGAGATGCCAAAGCACCAAACTCAATCTCTTACATGAAAGTCAGTGTTGGAGATGCTCAGTGGTAGAACACATGCCTAGCATGTACGTGTACTTAAATCACAGGGGACTGTATACTTTGCAGATTGCCCTAATGAAGTACCCTTTCAATAATAGCTTACAAATAATAAGACATAATATCTTACCTATAATATCTTGCAAATTAGAAAACAACTTACTTTGAAAGGCATGGCGGAATTATAATTCTCTGGAATCTCCCAAGACAGCAATACTGAAGTCTTCATTACTGCTTTGACATGAAAATTTTTTGCAAACACTGCTGGAAAAGGAAAAACAGTGTATTTAAACTATTCCTAAGGACATATGACCTGTCCTCTTTCCACCATGGATCATAGAGCTTACGCTAGATGCTGGCTACAATGCTTAGAGAGAGAAGTATGATTCGCCTACCTGGTTAGAGCATTCATTTTTAACCCATTCTCATAAAGATCTCTCCTTTCTTTCCAATTCAGTCAACTCTATTGTGTTTTCCTTACCTGAGGATATTGGGGTGCTGTCAGCCAGACTTTCTTGGCATTCTATAACTGAAATCTACGGCATCCAAAACGTATTAAGTTTTATATACTTTACCTTTTGGGTTTTGCTGAACCTATTAATATGAATGGGCCGATCAGTTATTTATAGCTTCAAAATACTGATTTCCAAAGACCGATATTCCTTTAAAGGAGGAAGGCCATAAGCAGACAAATCCTACCTTGATCCACAGGCAGTGTCCTGAACTGGACACTGGGACTATATGGCCCGGGCCCTTTGCTCGTGTGAGCACGTACTTTTACATCGTAAGTGGTATCTGGTTTTAAGCCAGTGAGTGTCATAGAGGTGTCAGCTGGAACAATGAGTTGCTCCATTGGAAGAAGGGGGATGTTGATATCCCTATAGAGAACGGTATACTTGGTGATAATGCCATTTCTCTCTGCCAAGACAGGTGGCTGCCAGGATAACTGGACGGAGGTTGAGGTGGTGCCTTCTGAGTGGAGGTTTTGAGGGAATCCAGTTGGTGCTTCTTCAGGAACAGAAATCTCTTTCACCATCTCCTCCCCAAAGCCCACTTTGTTTCTGGCGGACAGCCTGAAGATGTAGGATGCTCCTTTGTGGATGTCTGTAGCTGTAAAATGATCTTCTTTTTCAGAGAACTCGAGAGTAGTGAGAGGCTCCATATCCTTGCGGCCAAATTTTAGACGGTAGCCCTGAAGAGGTCCAAATGTGTCCACAGGGGGGTGCCACTGAATGAGAGCTGTGTTCATCTGTGTGTGGTTGATCACAAGTCGGGGTTTCCCTGGAACTGGAACACACAGGACAAGTGGTGAAACCCACTGGTGTGGATGTCCATATTTCAATTATTGCCAAATGGGAGTGTTCCACTCTAGTGGTAGTCCCATTTCAATATTTATAAAACAAAGGAAAACCACATTTGACCTACATACCTACATGAAACTGAATTCCTTCTCTTACTTTAATAAGATAGTTGGCACTACTAGAATTTGATAAGAAACACAAAATAGGAGTTATCATTAAAACAACAATTTAAGGGATTATTTCTAACTCTTTGCACATACAAGTTCATGTCTGCCATAGAAAAATGAATCCAAGTAAAGATTAGCCAATTACATATAGTTAATAATGATTATTTATTATGTGCAATGTTTCACAAACTGTAAGAGCGCTGAGCATATTATCTTATTTGATTTATACTCCTCACTTCTTGCTATGTACCTTCATTAGTTATTATATATCTAATTTCTATAATAAGAAAATAAGAACAGAGAGGTAGAAAACTAAGGTCAGGTACATAAGAAGAAAGCTGTAAGATAGATCCAGCTCTGCTTAAATCCCACTTAATATGCTGTTATATTGCTTAAAAGCTAAAAATGCTTAGTTTCTATGGATCTAATTAGCACATTCTGACTTTCTTATCCATACACAAACTGTTATGAAGTTTTTCAGCTGTACAATAGGCATATCATTAAGACTTACCTCATATTGGTGCTATGTCTTATTAAATGAAGATCTATATGCAAAAGTCTTAGCATACGGGTTTATACTCTATTAATATTAATCTTGATTATTAGTAGTCAGAAGAATATTAACCTTTTTTGGTCAGGAGTCAGTTTCCCAGAAGTTCAGAATTTATTTTCTTTTTAAGACCGATATGTCTTAAAGACTGATTTATTTATTCAATGACCATTAAAGCTATAATTTTTGTTTCAAGGAAAGCAATTATTCCTAGAGTCCACAGAGAAAGGCACTGATAGAAAATACAGCCAGAGGATTCTTCAAGAATGGTAAAAAGAAGGGGAGGGAGGAGAGAGCACCACAAAATGAAAACCAGCCCAAGTCTGTAGAATAAGAAAGATGGTAGGAGAGGAAGAAAGCTTACAGTAAAGGGAGACAGACAATAAAAGAGAACTGTAGGGATATGGACAGAGATTAAAACAATCTGGATAGGTGATGAGGCATCACATAAAACATCAGCCTCAGAAGCAATCTGGTTAACCCCTTCATTTTCTGAATCAGAAAGCTGAAGCCCAAGTGGGGATGCAGAGTGCCCAGGAACACACTTTTTAAGACACTTCTATCCTTAATCAATGCAGCAAGCTGTATTTCACAAGATGGGTCAATTCATAAGCTTACCTACAGTTTATGGGGAAAAATAGTTCCTGTAGTTTGCAATGGCAAGTATGTGTGTGGTGCTAAAGGTTGGTTTGTTACTAAACTGTTGCATACTCATAGTTTCCCAGAGAAAATGTAACCAGATACCTTCACAACACACTGGCAAACACTTAGAATACAGCCCATTCATTCTTAATCATGAAAGTACTTGAACTATTTCATTTATTTTATTTTAAATATATTTACAATTGTTTTTATTTTAAAACAGCATTTCAAGGCAGACATTAACAGACACCATTAATTTCCATTTATGTATATAAGCATTTATATGATTTGTCCATTAAAATGTGAATGATGGTGCTAAGAATCAAACACTTCAGTCTCTGCTTAGAAAAATTCATGTTAAATGCGGGGGTGGGGGGCTTTTAGGAGAGAATGTAACCTTCAATAAACGAATCCCAGATAAAACTATATGGTAGAACTATAACAATTAACTCTCACATTCTTCAGGGGGCTAACATATTTATTAAATATGTTTATTGAATTTTTTTTAAAAACTCTGGATCCAAGGAACTCCTTAATGGTATGTAAGCTGCATATCTTGTTTCTATAGGATGCATGGGCTGGGGTTGTGGCTCAGTGGTAGAGTACTTGCCTAGCATGTGTGAAGCACTGGGTTCAATTCTCTGCATCAATAAAAACAAATAAATAAAATATGTGTCCATCTACAGCTAAATATATATATTTTAAAAAGATGCATGGAAAGCTAGATCAAAAATACCTTTTAACTTCTTGATAAAAATCACAAATATTGATTGCAGTCTAATAACATTTGTTAGATCATAATACTTTGTTATTATCTGCTGTTTCACTTAATATTGCTAAGGTACAATATAATGGAAAATATAATGGACTGGGAAGTTCAAGGAAAAACAAACAAACATCCAGTTTATGAAAACATACATCTATTCCTCGGTGGAGTCAAAGCTTAGGAAGGAGTAGCATACACTGCTTTTCAATTCTGGCACGCCCTTTCTTCTTTTTTTAAAAATTTTATGTTATGTGTATTTTTTTTATATCTTTATTGTATTTATTTTATTTTTATGTGGTGCTGAGGATCAAACCCAGGGCCTTGCACTTGCTAGACGAGCGATCTACCACTGAGCCACAATCCCAGCCCACGCCCTTTCTTACTACGTGGTATAAAGGCTTGTGGGCTTGGAATCATGAGATCGAATAATGTTCTAGAAGCTGCAGCATCAGTTCTGACCTACTGGTTTTCCCTGCTGTGTCAGGAGCAATCCCAGTCTGCTCTCTAGTTCCAACCCACCACAGCCATTCCTTCTCCAGGCACAAGTTTAACTAAGCCTGAAAACTATTGAGACAACCACTCTGGGAGCACAAAAAGCACAAGGGAAGGATTCAGGAAAGAAATGAAATGCTGAGGTAGCTACAGAAAGAGCTGCCAATACCACCTCAGGAGAGGCTGCTCACATGAAGACAGGCCTAAAACCTCCTTGGAACGTAATAGAATTATTAGATGCAGTTCAAATCAGTTGGGGAAAGGGCTCTGGATGGCTATGAGTTTTTACCCAGAGAAAAAACTCTTACTAGGGAAATGCTTCAGACTGGGAAGGATGGCAGTAAGATGCATCAGGAGCTTTTCTCTTACAGGGATTTTAAATCTGGACACCTCCATCCCAGGCTCAGTGAGGAAGTGTCAAGAAAGCAAATGTTCATGCATGTAAATTAGCAGCATTTTTCATCTTAATATTTGTTGGTTAAAGGAAGATGTGAAATTATGAATAAAAATTCCAAAAGAATTCTATGTATAAATAACAGCCGTAATTGTAGATCTGCATGGTGACTAAAAAGTAATGAGCTAGTTTTAGTGACATTAAAATACACAGATTCATTCCTTTTTGGGGGTTTCTATGCCTTAGCTGTAAGTCCTGTGGTTCTTCTTTGTTAGTCCATGACCTCCACGTTAGAGGCAATAGGAGTTTGATGCTTCACATAGGACTTTCAGGTATTAGGAAAGGGGATAAAGGCAATCCATTTCTTCAATTTTGGATTTAATTTCAGGGGCTTAACAGTGGTTGTCAATATTCCAATCATGGCTCCTTCTATAGCTGGCTAGTCACCGTACCATCACCCCACTCACTGAACATGTCCCTCCTATTCAGGGCACTAAATTAGCTTGATACAATGGTATTCTTGGAAAAAGAGGGGGGAAAAAAAAAAGCCCGAAAGACTCTGCCTTGAAGGAGTTTTGCCATCTGTAATCCTGCTGCTTGAGGCAGTTCCAGGTGGCAGGATGTGAGCGAGGCAAATCTTATGACATTTAGACAAATTTGGCAGTGAGCATGGCACCCAGGAGGGTGCTCAACATCACAGCTGTTCTTTGCTTTAAGCCTTTGCATAGAGGTGTGTTCCTAAAAAGTTGTGTGAGAAGCAATTCGGGAGGAGTAAATCAAATCACAGTTTAAATGTTCCATGGGAGATTGCTATATGAAGGGATTGGAGAAGAATCCTTTTGTAATTATCTCTTAATTTATCGGTTCTACAATGCCAGACCTTCTTTCATGCTGGCTTTTCCTAATGTGGCCGAACAAAGAGCCCCAAGGAAGCTTTGTTCTTCAGAAAGGGGCAATTTTATATTATTGAACCTCCTTGATATTCTTCTTTCTCCAATTTTGGCGCAATCTGGCTTCTTTACAATCCCCGCAGCAGAGGGTGAGGAGAAAAAAGTGATAAGGAATAAAACTGCAAGTCATGAACCCAATAAAAGATGGTGGCTCTTCCAAAAGGGTTTGTTTGTGGGGAGGTTGAACTGGCTGTGTGACTTCTGTGTGGACACCTTCTTTTAGGACCTTCATGGGTCTTGTTCCTTCACATTCAAAATGCAGCTTAAATATCCTTCCTCTAAGATCTTCTTAGGCCTTATGAGAGATTGGTGATACTTAACTTGTCTATATACCTTTTATCTTATCACAATCACAAATTTTATTATATACTCTTGGTTCATTTGTTAGCTAACTAGTCCAGGTTAGAAAACAGAATTTTTCCATTTGTACATAGCAGGTACTCTAAAACATTTATTGAATGACTGATTGAATAATTTGGACAAACAGCACTTAAATTATTCTTTTCTCCTTAACTCTTTTCCTGAACTAAAAATACAAAAAAAAATCCACAAAAAAAAAAAACATGGCTGATTCCCTGGTTCATAAGTGTGATGACTGAGTGTTCATGCTATTGTGTGAGATGTGCCTCCCTCTAAACCTTGTTTAGAGACATCTGCACATTACCCATCTGAATATGAAAAGAAAAAAAAATCCAAACATGGTCCATTTATTTCCTCCAATTTTACGATAACAAAACAATGATGGACTCCACCCATAGCACTTGGAAAGTTGGTAATACTGTTCAAGGCACAAATGAGTACAGATATGATTACCTGCCCCAGTGGTGGACACCAGTTTGGGCTTGCTGCGAGCACCATCTCCTTTAGTGGTGTAGGCTGTGACTGTGAGGGAGTAGGAAGTTTCAGGCTGTAGCCCAGATATGATCATGTCCTGAAATGACACCATAGAACAACACTGATTCATTATATGCCACAAATACCCTAAGGAATACAAGGCCTTCAATCATCACTCTGCATGCCTGAGCATCCTCTGAAGTCATGCTAAGCACTGAAGTCTCATGCCTGCAGCTCATGCTATGGAAATCTATTTTCATGCTGACATTGAAGGTGGGTCTTCAGGCATCCTAAGAAGCAACTTTTAGGCATAGCAGTTTAAAAAAAGAATCTGGAGCCAAACCTGAACTCTTTGAATTTTAAACCCGCCTTACTTACTAGCTTGATAAACAAGGACAAGCAAGTTTGCCCAACTGCACCTCTGTTTCCTGTCTGAAAGTTACCAGCAAGGGTAACCTGAGGATTAAATGAGTGATATAAGAACTGTATCTGGCTTATAGTAAGTGATCCACAAACTACCTGTTATCTTCTACCAACAGCTTTCCTTATCTATCTATTGAAGCCCAGCTCACTGACTGGTGACATGGCAGGTGCTGATGCAGTCTGTTCTACCACCAGGTAAGTAGTTTACCAGATGGCTGATCTGTTGGATCTAGATATCCTCAGAGCCAGAGAACTCCAGGAACTCATTATTAGTTAATTATATAGGCTATGAACAATAGAGATCAGATTATAAAACCAATAGTATAAGAAGACATGTACTACATTGCTAATATGTGTTTAATTCATTCAACTGCTTAGAAAATATTAAATATTACAAACTATGTACCAACTCTCTTACTTCTCTTTTAGCAAGGGCCCAAAGTTGTGATGGTTATAAGACCAGATATCTTTGAACTGTTTCTACAAATTAAGGACTAAATGGGAGTGTACCCATCTAGAGTTCTAGTTACCGATTTGTTCTACATTTTAGAGCTACTCACATATGCATACACACATACTCGTACAGATTTTTTCACTTCCATGATTTCAAATTGACTTTGGATAAATTTAAGAAATGCACAATGCCATTTTCCTCCAAATCTAAAAACAGCATAGGTGTCAGTGAACACTGGGTTGTATGCAATACAATAGGGCTTTTCTCAGCAAGACTATTAACAGGTACCACAGAACACAATTTTTGAAGCTTGTCCCAAATGGCAGCTTTTGACAAGTTGCTTTCTAAAGAGAGTAGGAATACCATCAATGTGGAAACTGGAGCACTTCAGATTCCATCCTGAAGAGCCATTGGAGATTTTATGCCACCAGATAAATAAAGTATTTGGAAAAATTATTTTATCTGCAGGATCTTGAGATGGTTTCACTTATATTACAGAAGTTATCAAAATCAAATAAACCACCTGAGAGCAGTATTTTATGTTATGGTGGGAAAAATGGATATTCTAAACTTTGTGATGAATACATGCTAACTATTTTCCATGGTTCCCAGGATCACTGCTGAAAAGCAAAGGAAGCTAACAGGGAAAAGGCGGCAGCTTGGTTCTACCACCAAGTTAAATGGCGAGAAATGTATGCACCCAAAGATCTCTATCAATGTATGATTCAAAAAACTGGGGCTAATCATGTGTGTCCTTCATCTTGCTGAGATTGTCAATGGATACCATAAGTAACACTCTTTAAAACTGGGCAAATCCTTATCAGCAGGACATTGTTGCCAGCCACTCCTGGATTGGCCATGATAATAGTACTGCTTGGGCTACATTTTCTTTCTTTAAGCTGATGGTTTCAGGCTCCTTGGTGAAGAGGTATGTCTAAGGGGAGGAACAAGTTCCCACTTCTTCTCTCCTCCTCTTCCTCCTGTACTCCTGCCTGTTAAGAGTCGGCATTTCTGAGGTTCTGTCACAGTACTGGTCTGCTGCCTTTCTCTCTTGTCTTAAAAAACCTGAATTCATCTCAAAACCTAAAATAATTATTTCTCTGTCACATGTTTATCTCCAGCTTTAACCATCCCAAGTTCCATCCCATGCATATGGTCAGAATGTGCGGGATGTTTCCTTGTGATTTTTTCCAGTTATCTAAAACATCAAAAGCATTCCCAGAAGCAGACCGCCACCTTCCTTACTTACATATTTTAATGAAAGGCAAGCCATCTTTAAAACTTATGAGTTTTCTCTGACATCTTTCTCTTCTGGCTCGGCATGTGTTTGTCAGTTCTTAAGATGCTGACAACTCTCCCTTTTTTTGTCTCAACTTTGTTAAATGTTGATCACTTCATGAGTGAATTAGTAGAAGGACTCTTTCCCCTTGTTTTTCTATTTGCTATATTTTCGGTATCTAATTTATCCACTAAGTCACTGGTTTTTAAACTGCAGGTAATGACCCATTTAGTAGGTCATGAAATCAATTTAGCAAGTCGTGACCAGCATTTAAACAGAAAGGAAATGGAACAGACTTGAGTAAAAATGTTAAAAGAGTTCATTATATTTAAAATTAAGATATGGCTTTATAAAACTTTTATTTCTGTTAAACATGTGTGTGTACCGGATTAAAACATACATCTATTTCTTACTGTGTGTCATGGTCAAAGAAGTTTATAAAATAGTGCTACAGCCTTAATTCCACGAGAACTGATACTCTCTATATATTTTCTAAGATCCCCAATAAGAACCTTGTGCTCTGGCAATAAAAATATACAATGCATAAACTATCTTCCTTGCTACCTTTGTTATTTTTCTTTTTAACGATTTTCTTCAACTCTTCAGAACTGAAGACCACCAGCTCTTCAGCAGTTTTTTCACTGTATTATTCACCCTTAGCTGTATTTACCAGTAACATTCTTAACGTAAGTTTTCTTTGTGTCCCACTCTCACCCAACTATACATCAATCTCAACTGCCTTCCTGATGCCTTCTGCTCTGTGCAAAAAGCACTCCTACTTCTAACTCCCCAACACACACACATAGGTTCACCTATCCACCCCCTACTCATCCCTTAAAATCTCAAGTACATATTATAACCTTGTCTACCATCCTGGTCCACTGTGTCTGAATTCAAAGCTCTTACTGACATTGTCAACTCCTGGCATTACAGGTTGCTTCAGGCCTTTACATTTGCTGTATTTTACAAATTTTTCAGAACTTCACATCTTCCTAGCAACCTACACTGTAAACACTTGTAAGGAAGGTGTCATATCCTGCATCCCCTGAAGTAACTTATATACAGTAGGCTCTCAATAAATAACATGAACCACTCATTCAAATGTATTAAAAAAATTCCTTCCATAGTGAGAAACTGCTTAATTCTTGACATGATTCACTCCAATTTTAAATGGAGTACAATGGAGAACAGCAACATCTAGATAACCAGTGCCAGATGCACACCATGCTGTCCACTCAATACAAGGATAACAAGCAACCTATATCAAACTACTTGCCACCTTCAGTCTGGGATGCCTCCATTTGAAGCATGCCTCCTCTGACTGTGTTACAAGGCAGAATTAGTAGCAGAAATGAAAATAAATATCAGGAGCCCATTCCTTATGCAGTCAGTAGCACCATGCTGATTTCACAAAACAGTAACCAAAACGAAAAGTGCATACGTAGTGAAGATAACTTAAAAATGGTGAGTTAGTTCATGCATCCAAGCCAACTGCATTGACAAATCATAAGTGAAAGAAAGTGATCAGAAAAGACAGGCATACATGTACAGTCTGTTTTTGACAAAGCAGTCAGAAATTACTCACATGTTCAGTAGTATCATCAAATTCCCACTGATTGAGATTAAGAAGGTGGGGGCGGGGACAAAATAAAAAGAAATGAAGAGAAATTTGTAGCCCACTAAAGGCCATTTTGCCCACCTTTGATTAAAATAATAGGAAAAATAATTGAAACAACATGTACAATAAAATTGGAAAGAATATAAGTATTATGATGCAGCCACTCTCACATCCAAGGAAGAAATTAAACTAAATGTTATACTATTGAGATTGATAAACCCAGCTAATGTATTTTTTAATGTATGGATTCCTAACAGGAATCAATAAGGTATAGCAAAAAGATACAGTTTCTAATCATATTCTACTTCATGACTTTTATTTTGACTTTTTTTCTATTACATAATTAATGCAACTTACTATTCAAATTAATATCTTTCATTATATTAAAATCATATGGACACAGTAAAAACCTATTTTAACAAATAGTCAAGTAGAATAAATGAGGAAAAAGCAAAATAAGCATTGGATAATTAATTTCTCAGTAGAAGAGAGAAAAGAGAGTTGACTGTTAATGCATTATATAACTCCATTAACTCCCCAAATTCAGTCAAAACAGAGATAAAAATTACCATCTTGTGATGTTAAATAACTAAGAACCGAAGAAGAATATCAAAGCACAATGGTCATATTTTCTTTTCCATAATGGCAGACTCAAAAAATATAGCAATAATAGCTTTATATACTTTTTGAGAACTTTCTACTTTATAAGCTATTGCAAAATAAGTACTTATAAAAAAGCAAGTCACTGGCCCTTTCCCTGTATCAAGGGGATATTATGAATCTCCACCTACAAATATGGAAGTAGCCTTTAAAGAAAATATATATGCACAAGATTTGGGATAGAAAAGTAAGCTGCAAACCTGGATCCCTTTAGTTAGAATTCTTTGAAATGGGGGCAATTGTAAGCACTTTTGTGAACTGACTTATGTTAAGACTTTGAGGGTAAGTACTTTCCTTAGGGGCACAGGGATATTTAACATCTTCTTTTCTTCAGAGAGAAAAGAACATAAAACTTGGCAACCTAGTACAGCAGCTTTGACTTGGTTCATAATACTTCCCACTGCCAAACAAAGAAAGGCATTTTCATTTGGAATAAATTTCAAATTTTCACTAACTCCATCCTTTTTCCTGCTCAGCTACCAATTTGCAGTATAGGCAAAGCAATTCAGTATTTATAATGTCTTATCACCATTCCGCAAAGCAAAGGTAAGCTAGTCTACAGGTTATGTCTAATTTCCAGCATGGCATTATAAATTGAAATCTTCCTCTTCTTTTTAGGAACATGTGCGAAATACAAGTTGATTTATCATGGGACTGTCCTGAATCAAGTCACCTCTAAATAAAAAGACCCAAATTTTCCAAAGGTCGGTTTTAAGCAACTGATTATAAAATCAAGTTGTGACACCATAGCTGTGATCCACTGCCCTAAGATCAAGAGAATTTCTCACATACCACATACTCAACTAATCATTGTTAGCATTTAAAAAAAAAAAAAAAAAAAAACAATGATTAAATGATGGCTAAACATGGGGCATACTAATATGGGCTTATTCTCTGGGAAACTCTAATTTTTACTAATGACAAGGAACTATTGTCATTATTTTCATTTTCTGAAATATGAAGCAATTACTTTCTTCAAATGCGTGACTTAAAAAAATACCAAATAAAATACTACTTGGGCACCTTTTGTGAATAAAAATCCGTTCTTAATTGGAAAAAGTCATACATTTAGAAATTAGATCCACAAAGTTCCAAGCAGTTTTAGTATAGCAGAAAGTAGATCCTATCAGCAAACTGCAACTTAGAATCCTTCCCTTTGATTAAATCAATCACTTTTTTGAAGCCGGAAAGGCAAGCTCAATAGTTCAAAAGAGCTAAATATTCACCTTTTTTAAAAAGTGAAATTTTAATAGACTTAAGGTCATTTCATTACAATTAATTTCTTGATGTCATTTCTGCTTAGAAAAGTAAATAAACATTAATATGTTTTAAAAATCCAGAACTTTATATGTATTTTTTAAAAGTAAAAAATAATAAACAAAACTAAAATAGACTAATATAAACCCATCATGTAAAAAATAAAGGCATCTAATTTCAGGGGCTTACCTGTGCATCTGCCAGCATGACATCCTTCAGCATGGGCTGGCCCTTGGGCTCACCATTTTCCATCCTCACATAATGGACCTGGTATCCTCTTATCTGGCCATGCTGTTTATTGGGCACAGGTGAGCGCCATGAGACTTTAACAGATGTTGAGTTGACAGCCTCTACCTCGACTTTTCGAGGAGGACCACTAGGAACTGGAACAACATCATCGGATAAAAGAAAATTATAGGCACTTGTCCCACCCAGTGAGAGCATTTTGTTTACTTAAAAATGGGTAGACCCCACTATGTTTTCTTTGAAGAATACAAACATTTTCAACCAATGAAAATGCTCAACCAATCTGCTCTACCTTTTAAGAAAAGATCAAAAAACATGACCAATGCAAAAAAACAAAATGGAAGAAAAAAAGAGTATCAGAGAAATAGAAAAACATGTAAAAAAAAAAAATGTACAAAAGCCAAGGAAGATGCTTTGAGGTCCAAAGCATTAAAGCACAAAGAGTATTGCATTGAAATAATAATAAAAACTGATCGTTGATTGTTGTGTGTTTAAAGGTTTCTTTTTTTAATAGCAGAATAAAAAGATTCTTGATTACATGGATTATCTTCTTTTTCTCATATCAAAGGTATTCCAAATGACAGATGCCAAAAAGCGAATGTCGAGCATCATTGTCTCTGAAATATGCAAGACCAAAAAAAGGCAACAAGAAGATAAGAAGGCAGTTTTGAAAAGTTAAATTCAAAATGGAAAAGAAGTGATTACAAAAAGTCAAGAAAAACTCCGAAGACTTTAGATGGAGGTACAGAGAAAGGCTGGATTGCAAGATCATAGGAGCAAACTGTCCTTTTAAAAGGAAGAAAATTATTGCATTGAGACTGGGGGGGAAAAAAATCCCAGGATGCAGCAAAAACAAGTCTTTGGCAAAAAGATTGAAGTAACAGCAATGCTGGGTAAAAAGCTGAGCAGAGAAAAATGAATAACTGTTAGCCTATCAAAAGACAGCAGACCAACACTGTGTCAGAAGGGTGCAAATTGACGGAGCGTAGGCAACATACCATCTTCATCCGTTCGAATCAACACGGATAAGCTCTCAGGGCCAGGGCCGACATCTGTGTGGGCAGTCACAGTGATCCGGTATTCAGTCCATTTTTCCAGCTGTTCCAAAAGGTATTTGGTAGTGTCCGAAGGAATTCCCAAAACCTCGTGAGGCTTGTCATCTTCCCCATCCACTGCAGTATACTTGATGGAGTATTCAGTAATAATGCCATTCTGTTTTTCCACTGGTGGAGGTTGCCAACTTACCAAAATACTAGTGGAACTTGGGCTGGTGCAACTAATGTCTTGAGGAGGAGCTGACGGCTCTTATTTTGGTAGTGAGTTAAAGGAGGATTTGAGTGAAAGGACAGGAGTGGTTGGAAAAAAAAATGATAAAACAAAAGAAAAGGCAAAAATAAATAAACAATAAGGGCAACAAAACAAAAATAAGGCTTTGAAACTTAAAGTTTTAAAGATAAATTTATGTACCTTGGCTTAGTAATATGAATAAACCAAAAAATGAATAAATGATAAAAAATAAATTGTTAAATAATGAGTGGGGGGAATACATGAAAATGAAACCTTGAGATAATAGAGTCTCAAATAAAATTACCTACCTGAGATTTAAAATTCTTCTCCTACACCAACCCTTCATTATCCCCACCACCCCCTATACTGACTATCCAGCCCTCCCCCAAGCTGCAAATAATGTTAATTTTTTTAACCTTGAGATTTTCGTGATGATTCACTGATGCCATTTCATGCTCTCACTTCTACATTCTAGAATGAGGACAATTCATATACAATATACAATCACGAAAGGATTCATATGGGGGGAAATTTATAATAACTTCTAGGTATCCTGCCACTAGTTCCAATGAAAAAGAAAGAAAAGCCCAACAAACATAAAAAAGGTTCATCCTAACTAAAAAAAGTCTGCATGACCGATTTTAATGAAAAATGTTAACCTGACATTGATCATAGCCCAAATACAGTGAGCATGCAGAATCAATAAAGGATGAGAATGCACAGTCCAAGGTTTACCTACCCGAGGGTAAGGTCAGTCTTGTTGATTCTGACTGTAACTTGTACTTACCCTATGTCAGCTTTCAGCTTTTTTATTATAACTCTTCTTGAGACATCATTGCTAATAAAAAATTAGATCCCACCAGCAAATTTTGGTAAAATCAGTAATAATCATCTATCCCTTTCAAAATGTCAATAAATGCCATTAAAAAGACTTACTTAAAAAAAATCCAAGAATCATCTGGAAAACATATGACTTATGTGCAACATCTCTTTCATTGTGTGCATAATTAATCATATAAAGTGGTTTTATATAAGAGTCAAAAGTTACACTTTTTAATGCCCATTCTAAAATAAACTAGTCACCTTCTGAGCAATTATTTCCATTAAATTAGGCAAACATTATTATTTGAAAAAAAATTAAAAATCCACGAAGGTAAACACAACTACTTTCATCAATTGTTCTTAAAGTTAATAATGTATCTTCCTACGAATGACAAACAAGAGCATATAGTGTATGTGTGTGTATAGAACTATATTGCATATATATATATATATATAGTAATTTTTTGTATTTAAATATCATTTGGGGATATCCTTAGCCTTTTTTTGTTTTTTGAAAGGAATGTCTTGGCATGTTGCTCAGGCTGGTCTTGCGCTTCTAGACACAAGTGATCCTCTTATCTCAGCCTGCTAAACACCTGGGACTACAGGCTGCCACCATGGCAGCAGGACTGTAAGTCTAATTAGTATGGAGTGCAAAATATATTAAATTGTTTGGAGGATTATGGCTCTCTCTGAATCTATGTGCCTGAAGTTCATCATTATAGTCAATTAAAATTAAAATCTTCTGTTTGACAAAAGAAATCCTATGTGACAGCCTTATCAATTTGAAATAAGATTTGCAAAATCACTAGAGTATTATTTTTATTGATTCTGACTCCAAGTTCTTATATCTTAAACTATAAAACTATATATTAGGTGTGGTCATTATCATAGTAAGTTGTTGGTCATATAATGCCAAGAACTCATTTGTAATTCTTTTTTAAAAGGGTTATTTGGTTTTCACTATGCTGCTACTTTCAAATCTCCTGGTCTATGAAATTAAACTCAACACTATTTGAAACTTACTTTAATAGAGTAGGTACCATTTTCATGCAACTACAAAAATTTCATTTTACATCTATACATGTATTTGTGTAAAAAAAAAGTTAAGACTTGCGAACCATGCAAAATTAAATACTGAAGAATGTAACATTTCTTTTAACTAAGTGCTGCTCAATTTTAAGAAATTACCTTGAATAATACTATTTATTAGCCTGTCTGAAATTCAAAGCAGATATACAGAAACTTCACTAATTTACAAGTGTCAGTTTTTAAATGAAAGGAAATTTGGGGGGGAAAAATTCATAATCACTACTAGATTAGACCACAGTATTCTAATACTCCTCATATTAATAATCATGTTTTAATTGAGAGAATATGAATGTTATCAAAACACCCTGAAAGGTTTGAAATGTCTATAGAAAATGAAGTGATAAAAGAAGTCCGTATATGAAAGGAAACTAATCTTTTAAAATACATAAATTTCAATTTGCTGTTAGTTCTAAATATGAGGTCAACAGCATCCGCTTGACAAAATACAATGTATTCATATTGAAATTTATCTACTTTATAAGCTACCATGTCAAAAAGCACAGAGAAAATATTAAACAAAACATATTAAGACAACAACTGTATTAAACTCTTCAATCCAAGGTAAATAGTTGTCTCTGATCCAACTATAGATACTTACTATTAAAAAGCAAACAATAATATTCTGAACCACCAAACTTTCCATCAAAACCAATGTCCTATGTAACACTTTATAAAAAATAATCTGTTTGGGCACAATAAACCCCCATTATCATAAAGAAAACTGTGCTTAAGGGTAAAAATTCCAAAAAGAATTCAAACCCAAGGAAACAAAATACAATTTAGGATTACAAATGTTCTTGTGGTCCTTCTGGTTTTATTCAGTTTCTCTGAATACAGATTTTCTATGTCCGTTCCCAATTTCCAAATGTACTACTTACAGATTTAATAAGAAACTAGTCGTAAGAGTTGATTGAGCTTTTCTTCTGAGTAGGAACAGATACTGAAATAATGCCTTGTTTCTTAGCACAGGTAAAACTTATGTGCTTTAAAGAGATGAAAGCTGTGTATTTCGCTCCATCTTTAGTTTGCTCTTCCCTTTTCTGACTATTTTGCAGTGTTCACAATCTCAGTTTTGCCTTATGGCCCTATAATTCATTCCTTTGTGCCTAATCTGCTTTCACTTTCTTTTTACCTGTGGAGGTCTACTAACTTCTCTCAAACACTTTCCATTGAGGACAGGAATTCTTTTATTTGGATCAAGTTTGAAAACAACATAAAATCATCATGAGATGCTTATGATCACATAGATAACTGGCTATGTTACCACATTAGCAGGGATGTTTTGTTGGTAGAGCCAAATGCCAGAAATATGTCCTAGTGAATAAAAAAAAGGGCAGAAAATAAACAAAGAGAGACACCTACTTGATTGCATGGTTCTGGCTGATATTTCAGCCGTCGAAGCACCGAGGCCTTGAGGAGAGCGTGCAGACAGACGGAAGTAGTACAGGCTGTTTGGTCTCAACCCCTGTAGCCTGTATGATGTCCCTGGCTCGATGGTAATTCGTTGCTATGAGTAATAAGAGTATTTGATCATCTTCGTTAAGATTCATGCAAATTATTTTTTGTTGTTATTGTTTTTTAAAATTTTTAAATTTGTTCTAATCAGTTATACATGACAGTAGAATGTATTTTGACACACTGTACACAAATGGAGCATAACTTCTCATTCCTCTGGCTGTACACGGTGCATAGTCTCACCAGTCATGAAATCATATATGTATATAGGGTACTGATGTTGATCTCATTCTACTGTCCTTCCCATCCCCACAGCCCCACCCCACCTCCCCCCATGCACAAGATTCATGCGAATGTTTTTTAATCACACTGTAACATTAGACTCTATCATCAGAATTATGATGTTATCAAAATAGCACAAAAAGAATCCGAAGTGAGCATCAAGGACTATATTTTTATTATATAATAAAAATGTCATGGTTTAAAAAGCAAGTTTCTTTAAAAGATAAGTAAAGCATGGAATAACCAAAGCCTGAGGTATTTCTAATGTCAGCAATGTTATGCAAATCCATCAGATAAGAGGCAGACTGAGAGGCTGACACTCAGGAATGTGTTCTACTCAAAAGATATGTATGTTGCTGTGACACAAACCACAAGAGAAAGTGACACCTGCCTCAATAATAGAAGATGCCAAACCTGTGGCATCTTCTCCCATACATAACTTTCTACAGTCTAAACAGGGGGATAAAAAAATATAACCAGAAGTAGCAACAGTTAACTACCAACACAATATACAAGATTTTGCCACAAAAGAGATAAGAATTCCCCAAGTTCTAATAAGATAAACATCAGACATTAGTCACTAAAGGAAGTTGAATAATTTTCATTGAAACCATATCACCACTCCAGGTTCATTCAAAATAATGAGAACTTCCTTTTTATGAATATAAAACCTACATATAGAAAACATATATATTCAAACTTTATATATTTTAACATTATCAAGAGAGATTTGAAATAAGATTTCTTTGATTGAAAGGCTACATCTGTTACATTTTATGCTTAAAATTTTCCAATGAATTTTAGAAAAAATATAGTTGTCCATGAGTAATCAACCTTGGATTGAACACTAGCCTGTAGTAAACTTTAAAATGCAAGCAAACATGTAATCTAGTAATGGCATAAATTATCTTAAGGCTTTTATCAAATAGTGTTTGCTAGTCACACAAACAAATAGTCAAGGGGAATTCAAATATAAAACTAAAGTAAACATCCCTAGGGTATTCTGGCTTGCAAATATGAAAGCTCTCAAAAATTTTAGATTCATTAAACAAGAAAAAAATTCCCTAAAATTTGTAAAGCACAGAAGGTGTGCCAACATTTAAGCATCCACAATATTCTTAAATGAATTAAGATGCGAAACTCTTAGTACAGGGTCAGTTAATATAAGTACTCATTGTATTGACTTTTGGTTCACACTTTCAATAATCCACTATCATTGTAGTTGCACAGCATACTAACACCGTTACACACACACACATACATATTCATATCAAATACTTTTTAGTGTACTAATAAACATTTACTATGGGTCATCTTTCTCTAAAACCAGTCTGGACAAATGAACAAATCCATTTCTTCAGTGACTTTTATTAGTGTACAGAACTCATTCAATCATGTAACTCCACATTGATATAAATAATATAAAAGATAAAGGAAGTCCCCAAGTCTTATGGCTATCTATTCTTCTCTGACCTTTACCTCTGTAATATGAATCTTGGAAACCTAAATGGAAAAGCATTCCAGTAGGAGCAATGATTTTGTTTTTCTTCCCCAAAACATTTCTGCCCCCACAACCTTTTTTTCTAAGTCAAGTTCCTCTGATAATGAATAATTTTTCTCCATGAAGGTCCTCTACAGGACCTTGTCTGACCAAGACCCTCAACAAGTCCATGGAGGTAAAGCAGAGGCCCCAAGGCAACAAATAACAATGAAGGTGAGAAGCATGGTCTTACCTCCTCACCGTGCTCTCCATCCTTGTAGACCAGTTCATAGCTGGCGATGGTATCAGAACGTGGAGGTGTCCAGGACAGCAAAATGCTTGTTTCAGACTCAGGTTCTGCTTTGAAGTTCAGTGGCTGTCCTGGTACTAAAAATAGGGAGACAAAGGATTGAACTCACCATCACCATGAGTAGTCACAAAGCCTTCCCCAGCACATCCACCTAAACCTTCAAAATACATCTACCTGCATAATAAGCTTCATGAGACCTGGATGACTTGTACTGTCCAAATTAACCTCTTTGTGTACAGCTCATTTTTGTCCCTCCAAAGCTCAAGAACGTGATAAATACTATCCTTGTCCTTATACGCAGTTTAATATATACACAGATGCAGGAGGATTTAAAAGTATATTATGTATGTATGTCTCTGGATTCAATTTTAAGGATAATAAAATTATAAACTTTTAATACTATTGTAAGAAATGAGATTACTTACACAGTGCCATGTTGCAATATTTAAAACAAGTGCTAAATCCATAAAAGTTGTTACTTACAACTCAGGGAAACTGAATCTGTTTAGCACTACATGTATTATTCAAGCATATTTCCAGTTAGGTTTACAAAAATCTCGCCTTTATTCCATTAACAAACTACAGGAAACCAAGAATCACCTAGTATTTTTCTTACCAACTCACATTTTGAAAGAGGTGAAAATAAAATGAAAATGGAGAAATGAAAAAAAAACACACCATTAATTATAACTACTTCTCTTAAATTATTTTTAAAATGTTTAATGCATTAGACACAATACAAACATAATAGTTCTTGTAGTGGCATGGTAACAGAGGTTTTCTATAATTCTCACATTAGTCACATAATCTATGTAATAGATATAATTTAGTAAAGCCACCTATCAGAATTAATGAGAACAGGAAGTGTGTTCAGTTTATGGCACCTTATTCAAGGAAGTTTTACTAACCCAAACTTCCTAGTCAATATCTAACCATCTTATGGTTCCCTATCCATTAAACATAAAACTGATGTATGTCAAGGTATTACTAACACATCTAAGTATATTAAAGTGCTCTTCAATGATTTCTGCTGATTGGCTATGATTGGCACGGGCCTTGGCAATTACTAAGTATTTTAACCAATGCCGTGGATATTATGTTGTGTTTCTATATGCAAGACCTGAACATATGTCCAACTCCCCACAAGTTCACGTGAGAATTCCATGTGTATTTTATTAAAAGAAAAATACTTCACATCAGAAGGGAAAGAAGTTCTAAAGTATGCTTCCTGGCAAGGTAGGCATAAACATTCTAAGACACATATATAAACTAATATAATTTTTAGCTAAAATATAACTTTTAAAATAATGCTTGAAGTATCATTTTGTAGAAAAAATATACACAGATATAAATTGTTCATTTTCTTTTTACAGCCATGTCTCTGTAGTCTGACTAAGGGGGGGGATAAATAGAAGCCCTTCATTTAGAGATTATAAATCTAAAGGGGTCTCAGAGTGATTACTGGGGTCCCTGGTGACTATTCTATTCCTCCGCCTGTTTGTCAGCCTACATCTGTGTGTACTCCATAGGGTTCAGGGACACACTCATGTTTGTACTGATGTAGCCACAAATAATCAGTGTCTTATATTTCTATTTGCCTTCCTTATCTTCTATCACAAGCCTTGTGATTTCTCATTAATTTGTTGCCTCCAGGAACTTATTTTCTGAACAGTGTATCAAATTTTTTTTTTCAAGTATGTCCCCAGAGGGTAACCTAAGACAATCATTCGAATTGAGAGGAAAAGATAAAAGATAGAATATCAAAGAGCAAGAGAAAGAAACAAAGGGGAATTAAAAATAGGCAAATCACCAAATAAATAAAGATAAATAAATAAATAAATAAATGTGTGTGTATGTGTGTGTATATATATAAATATAATTTCTAAAAGAGAATTACCAAAGGCAACAACAGGACCAACAAAGGAAGCCAGGAAGAATCAGATGGGAAAATTATGATTGGATTATAATATCTAGATGACGAAAGAGTTTTTCAGTCTAAAAATACACAAACAATCATGTATGTGTAGCTACTCATATTTCTCTACTTTTATTTTTTTATTTCCTGTAATTTATACAATTCTGGGAAAGAAAGCCTGTGTTAACTCATCACTCAAACCAAAGTGGAATACAGTATAATGTCAAGTATTAGAACCATGTACAATATTGAAGGGCTACTCTCAAGAAAACAAAGGGTTTTTTATGAATTTCCTCCCTGTCCAATGCTAATAATAAACTGACACTGATTGAAAACATCTTGGAAACCTAATTAAGTTTTTTCTTACTTAAACTGTTTACTTTTTGTTTTTAATTTGTCTTGAATAAATTCGTAGTTAGTCTCAATGTTTCATTCTTATTTAGTGACACAAGCTTCGTCCAACCTTCTGTTTGGTTCTATTAGGAGTCCCTTCCTTCTTAATAATGAATTAAATGAGCATATCAAAGTCTCAGAGGGTGAACCGTCATTTCTGTTTTGTTTTACTCTTGGACAAAGTAATTGTTGACTAGATGAATTGATGTTAAGATTCTCTATCTAACATGCAGAGGTTTAGAGAGAAAAATCATTTATTAGATTTTAAGCTTGTAGTGGAAACATACCTGCCTAGAGGTATCAGGCAAATAATTAGATGAGTAAACATACTATATGGGGCCTCAAACCAACAGGAGAGTAGCTTCCTCACCTGAACAGGGATAACAGATCAAATTCAGTGCCTGCAGGTGTCTGCCTTGTACAACATGAGTCAAGTTTTCCCCACCGTCTGATTTTTTTTTTTCCAACAGAAATTGCTAAGAAATCTTGTAGGTAAAATTTTCCAATTTTTAATGATTTATTATTAATTAATTTTGAAAAAAACTGCATAGGGTAAAATTTGTCTGTAGACTAAATTCAGCATATGGATCAAATGGCTTAAATTATCTTTATTATATGAGGATTGAGGGCTACTCAAACTTTCTTGGGAATTGAAGATCTACATAAAGATTTCATTCATTGGCATTTTGTTATATTGGAAACAACTAACATAAAACTGAGTACTCAAGAAAAAAACAAAGATTGTCAAATGAATGGATATATATTTTTACTTACAAAGTAGTCTTAATGATCATAATATAGATATACAGGAAAACACTTTAGAGGACTCCAGACTTTCACATTTGGTTTCTTAGCACCATTTGGGAGACACTACAAATAGTTTCTTCATCAGTCAACTGAATTATTATACCAAACACTAAAGCTACAGAGGTTCTGTTTTACATTAATACTCATGCTTTTCTTTATATGTTTTATATGTATTTATATATATTTATATAAAACATATACATAATTATGAACATTTATATATAAACTTACTTATATGCCTATTTACATATCCCTTATGATCTCAGTCTTGCATATTTATATACATATGTGTATCTTAAGCTCCCAGTCTTTAAACTTTACATTTATTTGTATTCTTTCATAATTCCTACTTCATTTTTTTGTCTTTTTACATGTACTTTTTTTTGCATTACAATTCTTACTAAACATATATGCCACAATTTTTCATATCTGTTTGTATATAAAGTATGTTGACACCCAATTTGTGTCTTCATACATGTATTTCAGATAATGATGTCCATCACATTCCACCATCCTTGCTAATCCCCTGCCCTCTCCCTTTCCCTCCCACCCTTCTTCTCTATCTAGAATTCATCTATTCTTCCCATGCTCCCCCTCCCTACCCCACTATGAGTCATTTATTTGTTGACTTTTTCTTCTTTTAAAGAATGAACTCCATGCAATAAACTTTCCTCTTAGAACTGCTTTCATAGTGTCCCATAGATTTCAATATGTTGTGTCTATGATCTCATTTACCTCTAAGAATTTTTCAATCTCCTCTTTGATGTCTTCTGCAAAAACACATTGTTCATTCAGTAGCATATTGTTTAGTCTCCAGGTGTTGGAATAATTTTTATTTTTTATTTTGTCATTGATTTCCAGTTTCATTCCATTATGATCTGATAAAATACATAGTAGTATCTCTACTTTTCTGTATTTGCTAAGAGTTGCTTTGTGGCATAGTATATAGTCTATTTTAGAGAAGAATCTATGTGCTGCTGAGAAGAAAGTGTATCCGCATGATGCAGGTTGAAATATTCTATATCTGTCAGTTAACTCTAAGTTATTGATTATATTATTGAGTTCTATAGATTCTTTATTCAACTTTTGTTTTGAATATCTATCCAGTGGTGAGAGAGGTGTAGTAAAGTCACCCAAGATTATTGTGTGGTGATCAATTTATATTATTTTATAGTTACTGCTTTTATAGTTACTACTTTTTTCTCTGAGTACTTTATTTACCAGTTTTTCTGTGTTGTAACATTTCCCTCACTGATTAACTAAACATCAATTATATGATAAAAATATGAGATCCTTGAAACTTAAAAGTAAATAAACAGACTGCATCTAGAACATTGAAAATAATCTTTCCACATTAAAAAGATGTGAGAATACTGACCATGCGCAAAATGTACAATCAAATATGGAAAGCTAAAATGAAAATGCAGTACAAATTTTTCTTTAAAATCACATTTTAAAAATCACAATGTCCTGTACATTCATGTGCTCTTTCTTGATTACTTACTGAATAGCCACAAGGAAATAAAAATATGAGCTGTCAAGTCCTTAAAAATGAGATTATAATCCTATTGATAAATGTCAAGTAGTTGATTATTACTACAATTATATTCTACATAAATATCTGAAGGCAACTCAGTGAAGGATGAAGACAGACTGAGAAATGCATGAAAAATCCTTTATTTCATTTGAAATGCTCATATATTAGAAGGGATCCATGTTTGAGTAAAACGTAGGTAATATCTCCAGATAAAGCCTGTCACATATTACATTGCTAAACTACAATTTTATCTTGACATGTTATAAATATGAAATATTACCAAAGATACTAGAAAACCTACTATTGCTAAAAGAGCTAATACTTTAACAAGGTACATATTTAAAAATGTGTTTACCTAGCATATTGATAAATGATAATAATAACAATAAAAGCAACAGCCAGAATTATGGTTGTAGTAAAACCAA